CCCAACCCTCCCCGCAGCCGCCGCCGCCCAGCCCTCGGTGCGGGTGCTGCCGCCGTCCCTGCAGGACCTGTTCCTGTCCACCAGCCCCAACCTCACCTGCGTGGCGTCCGGCCTGGAGTCGCCGGCCGTGGAGTTCACCTGGAGCCGCGCGCCGGGCGGGGCGCTGGGCGCGGCCACTTCCGGCCCCGCCCGGCCCCTCCCCGGCGGCCGCTTCGAGGTCCGGAACTTTCTGGAAATCTGCGCCGAGGATTGGAATTCCGGCGCCGCCTTCACCTGCCGGGTGAGCGGCAAAGGGCTGGGCGAGGAGGCGATGGAGGCCAGCGTCAGGAAGGAGAGCGGTGAGAGGGGTTTGGGGGGAAAAATGGGGGTTTTGGGGAAAAATGGGGTTTTTTGGGGAAAATTGGGGTTTTTTGGAAAAAAAAATGGGTTTTTTGGGAAAAAAATGGGGTTTTTACGTGATTTTTCATGGGTTTTAGGAAGGTTTTTGGGAGGTTAGTTCTGGATTTAAGATGGTTGGTCTTGGGTTTTAGGAGGTCAGTTCTGGTTTTGGGGGGAATTTCGGTGATTTGGGGAAAAAAATGGGGGTTTTGGGACAAAATTTGGAGTTTTTAGGTGATTTTTCATGGGTTTTAGGAGGTTAATCCTGGTTTTAAGATGGTTGATCTTGGTTTTTAGGAGGTCAGTTCTGGTTTTGGGGGGAATTTCGGTGATTTTGGGTCAAAATTTGGGGGTTTTAGGTGATTTTTCCTGGTTTTAGGACATTTTTCTCGGTTTTTAGGAGGTCAGTTCTGGTTTTGGGGTAAATTTCGGTGATTTTGGTTCAGAATTTGGGGTTTTGGGGAGGTTGATCTCGGTTTTGGGGTGAGCGGCAAAGGGCTGGGCAAGGAGGCGATGGAGGCCAACGTCAGGAAGGAGAGCGGTGAGAGGGGGTTTGGGGGGAAAATGGGGGTTTTGGGGAAAAAATGGGGTTTTTAGGGGAAAAATGGGGTTTTTTGGGGAAAAATTGGGGTTTTTTGGAAAAAAAAATGGGTTTTTTTGGGAAAAAAATGGGGTTTTTAGGTGATTTTTCATGGGTTTTAGGAGGGTTTTTCTGGGTTTTGGGAGGTTTATTTCTGGTTTTTAGGAGGTCAGCTCTGGTTTTGGGGGGAATTTCGGTGATTTGGGGAAAAAAAATGGGGGTTTTTGGAAAAAATTGGAGTTTTTAGGTGATTTTTTAGGTGGGTTTTAGGAGGTTAATCCTGGTTATAAAATGGTTGGTCTCGGTTTTTAGGAGGTCAAGTCTGGTTTTGGGGAAAATTTCGGTGATTTTGGGACAAAATTTGGGGATTTTAGGTGATTTTTCATGGGTTTTAGGAGGTTAATCCTGATTTTATGAAGGTTGATCTTGGTTTTTAGGAGGTCAGTTCTGGTTTTGGGGGGAATTT